CATGGTGCTGTCGGTGCCCGTGATCGCGCTGGGCGCCACGCTGGGCACGGCCACCAGCATCCTGGCGCTGTGCGGGGTCACCTGCCTGTGCCGGCACATGCACCCCAAGAAGGGGCTGCTGCAGCGCGACCGAGACCCAGACCCCGAGAAGGGGAGACCGGGCGTGCTCCGGCCGGCCCAACAGGTGAGCAGGGTGGCACCTTGGCCTCCCCGGGAGAGGGGCTGTCTCCCCGGCTGCGGCGGCGGGCGGACATGGGGTGGGGGAGCCGTCGCAGTTCTTCTTTGCAAGAAAGAGCCTGGCGGGGAGGGGGACGGCGGACGTGCATGAGGACCCGCCGAGGGGTTCGGGAAGTCGGGGGGCGGGGCGGGGTAGGGGACTGTAATTAGGTGGCGGTAGACTTAGGGGACGGGAGAGGAACGGGGACAGCGGGGGCTGAGGGGGAGAAGATGACGGGGAGTGGGAAAAGGGACTTGGGTAGGAATTAGGGCTGGGTGTGGGATGTGGGGGACTGGGAGGCTGGCAGGAGAATGTGCGTCGGGCGCGCTGAGGGGAAGATGGGAGGGGGCTGTGGGAGACGGGGAAAGGGGATTGTGAGGGTCGAGGAAGACTGAAAGGACTTGGAATCATGTGGAGAATGAGAGGCTTGCCGAGTTGGAGGGAGGAGGAAAGGGAGTGTGAAAGGGTGGAGAAGGTGGGGGAGGGGGGTTAAGGGCTGGTGTCGGGAAAGCACTGACAAAGCTGAGAAGGGGGGAATCCACCATAACCCAGAGGGGAGGGGCTGCTGTCCGGGTGGGAGCAGGAGACGGGGCAGCCGGGCAGGGAGTGCCTGGGGTCTGGAGAGGCAGGCGAATATGGAAGGGCCTGAGGATCCCGGCCCCTGCCAGCATCCCGCAGCTCCAGCCAGCCAGAGGGGCTTGCTGCGGCCACCCCCAAGATGTCTCTGAAGATGTCCCTGGAGACTGGAGGGATTTTACCCCATGCATTGGCTTGTCCCCGGAGCCCCTTTGAGCAGGAAATGGGTGGCGCCCCATCATACAGTAGAAGGGGTCTGGGAACAGCTTTGGGAGGAACTGCCCTTGGTGGGCTGTGAACTCCGGGACACGTTTCCCAGGTGGGAAGAGCAAAATGTCCTCTGGAGAACTGGAGGAAAAGAGTCTGGCCGGAGTATTTGAGGAAGGCTGGACCTGGGCAGGGGCATGACTTAACGACTTCCCAAAGCCCTCAGGATGCCCCATAGAGCTTATGGTCCCAGGAGTGTCGCTACAATGGGGTGATTCCACCTTCCTTTTTCCAATCAATTATCCAAATGCCCTGAGACCCAGATGTGTGGGGCGTGTGTCAGTCACTGTATAGAACAAGTGAGAGGAAATGGCTGCTGTCCTTGAGGCAATTACAATCCAAGAAAAGTGACATTGACACTGGCAAGAATAGGAGCCAGCTGGGCAGCAGGATGTGAGACCTGGAATTGTCTGGGAAAGGGGGGGAGTAGAGGGCTCCCCACTGGCTGAGGGTTGAAGGAGCCCCTCTCTAGAAGTTGTACCCTGCTGCCTCTCAACCTTCCCTCCAGCCCAGTACCCTTGAAGGACAGCTGTTCTTCTGCTTTCCCTGGGGGCGAGGGGTGTGTGTGTGTGTGTGTGTGTGTGTGTGTGTGTGTGTGTGTGTCTGGAAGGCAGGCCTGGCTATCCCTTCCCCTTCCCAGAGATAACCACTGGGAAAGGTGATGGTGTGAATGACTCTGGGATCTCTTCCAACTCTTTGTCTTATTGAGGACCAGTGGTCCACACAATAGCAATCATCTGTTAAAGACAAACAGATCATGACTCTCCCCAGCTTAAAATCCTCCATGACCTCTCATTGAGTGTTGAACAAATCAGCAAACCCTTACATGGCACTTACCAAGCGCCAGGCACAGTTAAGCTTTACACTTAATGCATTTAGCAACTCAATGAAGGACATACATGGTGATTCCAACTTAAAGACGAGAAAGCTAAGGCTCAGAGAGGGTCCTTTCCTCGAGGTCACACAACTAGAGACGTTTTAGAGCCAGATTCTAGCCAAGCTGGTCTGATTCTGGAGTCTGTGCTATGAGCCATTCCACTCGACTGCCTCACCTGCTTGATCTGGCAGCTGTCTACCTCTCTGGCCAGACTCATGCCAGTTTCTCTTTTCCTTGGCAGTCTCTGCCTCCCTGGATTTATTATCCTTAAAGACACCAACCCCTCCCATTTTCCTCCTGCTCTTCACAGAGATGGCTCCTCCTTATTCTGTAGGTCTCTTTCTGTTTAAATTGCACCTTCTCAGGGAGGATTTGTATCTACTGCTGCATGTAACAAAGCACCCCTCCCCCATTCCCTCTCCACATGTTCCTTCCAAATTCTTTTATAGCACCTGTGACAATTGAATGTGATCGTTCATATCTGCTTGCTTGTGTATTTATTTCCAGCACCCACTCAGTACCTGGAAACCAATAGATGCCCAATAGCATGTTGTTGACAAATAAAAGCATCCCAGTCTCCAGCCCCGGGGGATTATTTTCTGAGTGATTTCTTCACGTGTGTACACACTGTACCAGGCCTTTGCAACACAGTGTTAGCTCATCAGGGGCGCAGTTAATGTTTGGAAACGTGAGACCCATCTATGCACATCTCACCGGCCCCTCCCCCTCCTCCCAGTGACAAGGATTTGGGAAACCTGGGGCTGAATGTAAAGGCGTGAATGTGATGAGGCTGAGATTTCACAGTATTGGCTTGGCTGCCATTGTGCTTAGACTGATTCAGCCATGACCCAGATAGAGTAAACAGAGAAAAGACAACACAATTGACGTTTCAAAGAAAGTAAAGGAGGTGGTGTTATGGGTGGCAGGTGACAGCAGGATAGTGGACATTGTACATGTTGACAAGGAGGGGAAGAGTCAGGGGAGGCTCTCTGAAGATGTTTGCTGAAGAGAAGGTGTGGGGTCTGGGGAACAGGGCTCTAGATTCCTGTAGCCACTGAGAACAGAGATGTCTGTGGGATACAGTGTGACTACTCAAGTCTCCAAAAGTGGCTGGTGTGGTTGCTGGAAAATGTCCTTAGATTTGCAGGCCGTACCTGGGAATTTTATTTCTGGCCCTAAATGGTTAGATGAAGTTGAAGTTTGTAGTGATTTTGAAAAGAACTTCGAGGTTTTCCGAGGAGTTCTTAACCTGAGGTCCACACATACCCCCATGAGGGTATTTAAAGAGTTCATGGTCTTGGAGAGGAAAAACTTACGTTGTTAATATCACTAACATCTAACTGAAACTTAGCATTTCCTGTGAGTAGGAATATAAACAACACATCACAAGAGTATTAACAATATTGGTGACTTTGTCCTCAAGGGAAATCACAGATAGTTTCAGCGCACACTGCAGCTGTTATAGATACTCCACAATATTGTTTATGCTCATCTCTAATTCTAAATCATGATGCTTATTAAATCCCCTGCTAGATCCTGTTAGTTAATGAATGAATGAGGAGGCACACATGTAGCTATTTCACAAACTGATTTTATTAGATGTTCCTTTGTAGTCACGTCGTTTCGGCTTTTCCAGACATTTAGAGGAAGTGTCCATAGGCTTCTCCAGACAGCTGAAGGAATCCATAGAAGAAAAAAAAGATGCAGAATCTCTGCCAACTGGGAAGTGAGAGAAGGCGAAAGCCCTCGGTCATCTATTGCCTTCCACACCTCCAGCCAGCTCCCATTCACGGTTCTTTGCTTTTCTGAAATACACACTCTGGACCCTTTATTCTGCCCCCTTAGACCATCCCTCACCCTCACCCACGTGCGGTTTGCTGGAGGGACACACGGAGTTCAGTCTCACGATGCCTCCTGCCCATGGCGTGGCAAGATCACTTGGGAACTCCCTCGCTGTTGTCAGCCCATCTTTGGAAGCTTGGTTATTACGCAGTCGCTGGGCAGCTTGAGCAAGGAGACGGAACAGAGAGGCAGGACGGCGTGCGTGTGCCCATCTTCCCTTCACTGTTGCTTCCGGATCTGTCAGTGAGAGGCAGCCAACGCATTGGTTCTTTTCCCTTGAATTTCCTTTTCACGCTTGTCCGCATTCCCCCCATTTCTGGGTCCTTTCAGAGGAATCCTTCTTTTGGGCCAAACTAAATAACTATAAAATGAGCTCTTTTCCCACCGCTCATTACCCCAGACACCCATCACTTAGCAGGAGTTGGGGTTCTGTTTTCAGAAAGCTTTAGTTTCAGCATCCGATTTTTCTCCTCGCAAAGTGTGTACCTCATTGTACCCTTAAGTGGATATTCTCAAATGTGTCTCCGAGGTCCCCAGGGTGACATTGATGCTTGTCGCCTTGAAGCTAACACGTGATCAAAGGCTTTATTCAAGTTGCTCGGCCCCTCAGCAGTGGTCGCATGCATCGTGGACCCACCTCCCCCAGTCCTCACTGCCACGTACCCCCAAACTATAAAATCCCACCCTCCTTCCAGCAGAGTTGAAGAGAGCAAAGTGGCTTTTTCATGGAACACTGTCTTAGTCTATTTGGGCTGCCACAACCAAATACCACAGACTAGGTAGCGTATAAGCAACAGAAATTGATTTCTCGCAGTTCTGGAGGCTGGAAGGTCCAAGATCAAGGCTCTGGCAGATTCAGTATCTGGCAAGAGCCCGCTCCCTAGACTTTTCGCTGTAACTTCACGTGGTAGAAGGGGCAAGGGAGCTCTTGGGCTACTTTTATGAGGATGCTAATCTCATTTGTGAGGGCTCCACCCTCACGATCTAATCACCTTCCGAAGACTCCCACTTTCTAATACCGTCAGAATGGAGGTTAGGTTTCGACATATGAGTTTGGGGGGGACACAAACATTCAGACTGTAGCAAACACTAATAGATTGATTCTAAGTTTTTATTAAATAATTCAAGTGCTGAATTTGTATCAAACAATATAGTATGTATAGTGGACTCTCCCCACCCGCCCTCCAAATTGGGGAGTGTGTCTTTCATTTTTCTTGTATCCCTGACAATATCTAGTGTGATGCTGGGCACATGATAACTCTTCAATGTATTTGAATTAACTCGTCATATTGTGACACGACATGGAATAAGAGAAGGAAGACATAAAGAACCAAGCCCAATTTATTTATGGTGCTGTTATTGGGGGCAGGTAATGCTTCTGGGCTTTTGTTTATAAACTGTCTCT